GGACATCTCTAATAAAATGTTTGACACTAAACGAAATGACCTTCAAACGTCTCTCTTGAGACAGCCTGCTGTTCCACTGTGTTACGTTACCGTAAAAATAGAGTCGGAATGTGTACCAATGAGCAATAAAGTTGATTTTTCTTTTTCTTCCCTGATTCTTCCCTGTTGTCCTAAACGCTTAATTAAGGGCAACTAATTCAATTTACTGAGCATAATTGGAAACATAAGTATAAATAAGGGATTTCTGATATTAGCACAATTATGTAACATCTGTAAGAACCGTTATCGTTTTTATATATATATATCAGTGTTTGTTGATTTAGGAATCGGAAATTGAGTGTTTGTACAATATCAACATATCGGCAAACAGTATCGGACATCCTTGGTATAAAAGGTTGGTTCCTTCCAGTTGTGATCCTGTCATGGATTGACTACCTGTACATCACGACCTTGGTTTTAACCTGGTGTCAGCCGTTGTCAGAAAAAAAACTTTAAGCCAAGGACTGCTCATTCAACTCATCTAAAAAAAAAAAGAAGGATATAAATCCCATGTCTCCTATTCATCACGTATTGACCTCAATGCGATCCCCACTACTTCACATCCCAGTGGGATGTTTTTGAGGAACAGGAATGGAATGCAAAGCCCTTCAGGGTGAGAAATGATCCTGTCTGCAGCAAGCACGCTGAAATAATCACCTCCTGCATACATACATAACAAGTCCTCGCTAACACCTAGGCGTCTTGAATAGGACACAACAACAACAACAACAACAAAAAACCTACCTTCTCTTAATACTTGGTACATACCACCCAGATGTGGGAATGCTGGTGAACAAAGAGCGAGACACAGCCGTAGGTTGTTTCGTCATAGTGCTTATATTGCTTGGTATACATTTTGAACAGAACTGTCACACAGGACACAAAGAACAGGCAGCACAGGAAAAATGAAAACCCGGAGAGAGACTGTCGATTCGAAGGTTGCACATCTGTATCTGTAGAGAGGGGTGAGAAGGCGGGGGAGGATGAGGAAGAGGAGGACTTAGACATTCTGATTTATACTCTGTTCAGATCTGGCGTTAAGAGTGGTCCAGATTGATACCATCACAAAAGTAACCACGGTGACTTTCTCTACGGAGGGTTACTTGACATTATTAGGGATGTAACGATGCATCGTGAATTGGTTAAAAATCGTAATAAAATTTGAAATAAAAAAAATGAATCGTGCATCAAGTTGTAAGGAGTACGCTGCGTTGACTCAAAATGTCACTGGTCATACCATGACACTACGCACTCTAGTACAGTAGGTGGCGGTATGCGCCTAAAAACGTTGGTTGTGAACTGCTGTTAAACCAAGAGGTTAGGTCTCTCTGTACAGTAAGTGGCATTTAGGTGTTCAAACGGAACGTGGGAAGAATTTCTTCCACAGACGCAATCAGTGTTTTACAGTGTTTCCGAGAAATAGTTTTTGTATTCTTTTGTTGTTCAGTATATTGACAGTTAGCGAGGTAAATAGGAACGAAAAATCGTGACTCATATCGTATCGTGAGTTGAGTAGATCGTTACCTCCCTAGTTGATATCAGTGCTACCTGCCAGTCCTGCCTGTGTGTCTTTTGTAAAGACCAACAAACGCTAACAAAAACTGCCGAAAGCGAACAAAATTGCCGAATGTTATGCATTGTAACGTCGCATGTACTGTATATTCTCATTCGCAGTGGTGCGTAACATTAGACGAGAAATCGACCGCAGTTCCAGACAAATGGTACTGTGCTTAAAAGATAGCCTTGGTGCGTTTTTATGGACTACGTGGCGCTTTGAAGAACTGGGAACAGTACCAAAAACCAAGTGACCAGGAACTTTATCAAAGTACCATTGGTCGACTAAATTGCCTTATTAAGCGTCTTGTATCAAACATGGAATGTCTAGTTTTCTCGTAGAACTGAAGGGAAAAAAAAAAGTCTGAAGCTTAAATTCTTAAAGGGTGTGTTTTTGTATCCTCGTTATTTTCTACATTTCTATCAAAGCCTAATGCCATTGCATTGCTGTGCACGTCTGCAGCGTTACTAACTGATAGCCCGTATTATTATGACCACCAGCCTATTATCGTGTGGCTTAGCCTTTTTTACTGCAACAAACTGTCGTGTACTGTGTGTCCTGAGACCTTTCTATTGCAGCGGTTGTCTGTCGGGGTCATATCACCCAGGCCAGACTTCTCTCCCAGTGTGCATCAGTGAGCCTAAGCAACCCATTACCCTCTCAGCGGTTCACTGCTTTCCCTTTCCTTGATCACTTCGGATAAATACTGACAGCTACAGCCCAAGAAGAAACTGAAAGTCACCGCACTTTTAGAGACGCTCCGATACAGTCCTCAAGCCATCACTATTTGCCCCCCCCTGTCAAACTCGCTCAAATTCTTACACATGCTAGAATGAGTAAAATATCCCACCCACTGCTGGTGTCCTGATTAGAGATACAACCAGTTTTGTTTAGTGTTATGGCTGA